TCTTTGATAATTGTTAAGGATTTTTTGTTAAATTATCTAATCAGACGTGGAAAAATGGGAGAAAATAGTGGGGTAAGTCAAAATTGGAAGTTTGTAATGCTGACGAAATTTTGATGTCGGTGATCTTTTGGGTTAAATAATAATAGGGGAAAATGGTGATAATATTCTTAATTACAATTAAAAATAAACTTGAATTGTAATAAATAAGTTTGAATTGTAAAATAGAAAAATTAAAAAATAAACTTGAATTACAAGTTAAAAACAAACTTGAATTACAAAAGAAATAACAACTTAACTTTAAAAAAGTACTTTCAAGTTTAATTTACAATTCAGGTTTATTTTTTACAATTCAAGTTTATTTTAAACAAATAAAAATAAACCTGAATTACAAAACACAAAAATAAATTTGATTGGATAAAATAAGCTTGAAATTGTAAAATAAACATTAATTGTAAAAATAAACTTTAATTGTAAAAATTAAAAATAAACTTGATTTAAATGAAAATATAAATAAACTGAAATTACAAAACACAAAAATAAACTTTAACCTTTACATCACTCTTATAAACAAGCCAAAAATATTCACACGCCTAAACTTGCATAATTCTCTAGCCCTTTAAGGCATTTTAGTTAGGATTTTTAAGATTGTTTTTATTTTAGGAAAATGCTTAAAAGCTTTATTTTTCGTTCAAAGTACAGAACACATTATAAACCACAAAAACATTCTAAAAATCTTGCAGGCATTTTCGGTCAAAGTCCAAAAACAGCAGCAGAATGGCATTTATTTTTATTTTTTTTCTATTTTTTTTGCACCCATTAGAAGGATAGAAAATAGGGAATATTATATTAGAGATATTTTCTGTGGAGAAAAAAGAAAATAAAAAATAGGTAAAAAGCGCCTACTGAAATTCACGTGTTTTACAAAAATAGGAAAAAATAAATGTTGGCCTATACAAGAAGAAAATAGGCAACCTTGTTATTTTCCATGAAAAAAAGTTCCAAGTTGTAAAATAAAATTGTAAAAATTGTAGTAAATAGAGAATAAAGGGTGTGCGCCATAAAAATAGTTTAAAACGCCAAAAGTAAAAAAATTATTTTATATGATGTCAAAATGGTAAAAAATTTTTTTTAATTTTTTAAAATGTTTCAGGGGGGTTGAGACTCTCAATAAAAAATAATAGAAAGAAAAATATTGGCAATAAAAAAAGGTCAAAAATTAATCGCCCAGTCTTAAAGTAAAAAGGCAGCTGGAGATGATGATAGAATAAATTAATAAAAATAATTGAGACTACTTAATATATAATTATTTATTTAAATAATTAGATAGAAAAGAGTCTTGGAAACAAAGTTTAGTCTTTGTACTAATTTAACTATAAAAAGTATCAGAAAAAATGAGAGTGTATTTTTGGGTTTGCGTGGATTACTGGAATGGAGGTTGAAAGGGAAAGAGCACAAGAAGTTGGGTAGGTATATGAAAGGTGAATAACACCTTTCTAGAATGCATTTTCCAGGTGGTCTAGCTTCTTGAAAGGTGAACTACACCACCTTTCCTGAAGGTGAATGAATGATAATCACCCAAGGTGAAGGACACTAGAGAAGAGTCTCAGGGGGTATAAATTTACAAGGAGGTTCTGTGATGAATAATAAAGGATTAAAGAGGAATACGAAGGTGCTTAATGAGAAATAGTACGAGAATTGTGGTAGAAATGTGGAAGATGAGCATTTTTGTAACAACAAACATTCACCTCATTCACCCACCCTCTTGTGGAACTTTTCTCGGGTAATGAAATTTAGAAGTGAAGTTTAAAGGATTAAAGAGAAGCAAGGAAGAGGTTAATTGACTAGAAGGGACAGAAAAATAATAAAAAAATAATAAAAATTGAATAAACACCCTTTAAATGTTTCCAAACACCTCTCTATTCTCCTCTCAATCATTCACACAAACCGACTGACTGCTTTCACAATACCCTTCACCCGCCTTATTTTCACATCTCCAATCTAGTCATACCCCCTCAATATTTCCATTTTTGCCTTTTAGCATGTGCCGCTTTATTTGACTAGCCAGCCTTGCTTAGCTTTTATGTCTCATCCCTGCAAAAATGCCCTTTTGAGGGACGGTCATGAGAATAAAAATAAAAGAAAAAAGTCTTAGACATCATGTGAAGGAATTTTTTACATGTAAAATACATGTGAAATCGCTATTTAAATTTACAAAGGAAAATAAAGAGTTGAAAAGGTCAACTACAAGAAATGTGAGTATCACAAGGATTTACATGGATACCCTAAAGGGGAGTTAAAGAGGATTTGGAAGATGTGGAAATGTGGATGTCTGAAGGGATACTTACAATAAACAAGTTTCTAAGTATGAATGAATTTTTAAATCAACTAAAGTCTCTATCAGAGGTGAATCGGAATCCAATTTCCGAAAATTTCCTAGTTCCGATTTTTGAACCATTTCTGATTTCCGATACCTTTGTAAGTTCCGATTCACCTCCGGTATCTATACGAGAATCATAAAAATGCCAGGACACGAAAAATAAACCAAAAATTTGCCCTAAGGGACCATTGTCTTGAGTCTTTTTAATTTTTAGTCTTGAGTCTTGGGGTCTAGTCTTGGTCTTGGAAAATTTTCGGTCTTGGAAGGCTCTACAGGATAGAAAAACTTTTAAGTTGTAAACTGAAAATAGTGGATTGTGACGGACTCTCTTGAGGGATTGGCATGATTCATTAAAAACAAGACTAAATCTAATCCGATTTAAAAAACAGACAAATAAATTTTTAAAATTATTAAGAGAATTCTACGTGTGGTTTTTGATTTCTCACATATTTTTAAAGGATTTTATCAAAAACAAAAAAAAATTTTGAGGAAAAAACGCTTTAAATTTAATTTAAAAAATATTTTTTAAATCCTTTAAAATTTAAAAATAAAAAATTTTTAAATTCTCATTTGCCAATAAATAAGAAGGGAAAATTAAAAATAAAAAAGGGCATAGCGCATGTTTACAATTTCCGACATGTCTGGGAAAAAATAAAAAAAATTTGCAAATTATATTAGTGCATAAAAGTCTGAGCGATAAATATATTTTAAAAGTCTAAAGGGTAAAACAAAAAACATACCTATATAGAGGAAAAGCTGACTTTAAACAAATAATTATAATAAGGGCTAACACTTTCTAAAAAATAGCCTTAATGTTGTTGAGAGTTCAAAACTTATTAAAATTAAGAAGCATTACCCGAAAAAACACAAAAGAAACACGCTATAGAACACACAAACAAAACCCACTTAACTAAGAAGTAATAATGAGCATTTTACAAATTGTAAAAAAAGTTTATTTTTACAAAATGTAAAACAAGTTTATTTTTTTTACAAATTGTAAAAAGTATTTTTTCGCAAATTGTAAACAAGTTTATTTTGTTTTACAATTTATTTTCTCGTTTTCAAGTTTATTTTAAAGTTTGTACAATCAAGTTTTAATTGTGAAACAAGTTTATTTATTTTTTACAACTTATTCTCTCAAGTTTTCAAGTTTATTTTAAACATTTTACAATTCAAGTTTTAATTTGTAATTTTACAATTCAAAACCAACACAATTGTAAAACATGTTTGCGTGTGTTTTGCTCCTTTAAACACGTGTTTGATCACCACATTTTTGCTTTTTTGTTTATTTAATAAAAATAAAAGTGTCTTTCACGTGCACTGTTGGCTTTTTATGTTTTCAATTCTGTGTTTTGTTCTTTGAAGGGAAAACTTGGAGAGAAATGCGGGAATTTGAAGAGTGAAAATGTGTAAGTGCAGCCAATAAAAAAAAAGAATTTTAAATTTCGAAATATTTTTAAGTTTATTTTTAGTCTTTAGTTTTTGTAAGATTGTAAATTAAGTTTTATCGAAAATAAAATAAGAAGGCAAGTAATGCAAATAAAAAGATAAACAAAACATTTTACAATTTAAACTTAATTTTAAGTAGTTGTAAAACTTGAATTGTAAAAATAAATAAAAATAAACTTGAATTGTAAAACTTAAGTTCCTTTTAAGTTTACAAATTCAAGTTTATTTTTATTCAAGTTTTTACAAACTCAAGTTTTATTTTTAAAGTTTTACAAATTTAACTGTTGTAAAATTTAAAAATAAACTTGAATTGTTTATTTTACAAATTGTAAAACAAGTTTAAGTTTTTACAAAAATTAAAGTTTTTAATTTACAAGTTTATTTTTGTTTTTACAATTTGCGTTTATCAGCCTTATTTCCCAAGTTTTACAATTCAGGTTTATTTTTACATAAAAAGGTACGAATAACGATCGAGTGTATTTTTAATATATTACGTCAATATTACAATTAATTAAATTATCAAATTAACAAAAATAAATTAAAAACTTAACAAAAATCAATTCAAAATGCTTTTTTAAAAAAGTATACAAATTAAACAAGTCAATTTTCATCGTTCTAATAAATTACGTACGCATATCCAAACTCTTTCCAACCTTTTGCAGCAAATAACTAAGCCCAACTTTTCGATTTTCTTCAATTGTCGACTCATTCCATATAAGCAAAATTGTCTGAAAAAATAAATTAAATGAACATAATATGTAGAATTGTGATTTTTTACAATCCAACTTGAATTTTTACAAATCCAAGTTTATTTTTGTAATTCAAGTTTATTTATGTAATTTAAGTTTATTTTCGTAATTCAAGTTTATTTTTACAATCCAACTTGAATTTTTACAAATCCAAGTTTATTTTTGTAATTCAAGTTTATTTATGTAATTTAAGTTTATTTTTACAATTCAAGTTTATTTTCGTAATTCAAGTTTATTTTTACAATCCAACTTGAATTTTTACAATCCAACTTGAATTTTTACAAATCCAAGTTTATTTTCGTAATTCAAGTTTATTTATCTTTTCTTCCCCATTATATCGAAAATGACATTTAAAAAGAACTTTTCACAATTTGTAATTTAAAATTCTTTTACAAATTCAAGTTTATTTTACAACTTCCTCAAGTTTATTTTTGAATTGCAAAACTTCGTTCAAAACTTACATTAAACCCACAATCTTGCCATTTTACACTAGTTGGACAATTCTTCTTAATAAATTCCAAGAGATCAGAATTAGAAGAGAATGCATTCGCATTGTATTTTGTCAATTCGGAGTGAAGAACATCAAGCTGAAAAATAAAATGAAAAAATATTTTTGTAAAAATTGTAATATAATTTGTAATCCGAACTTTAACAGAATCCAAGTTTTACAATTCAAGTTTTATTCTGTAAACAAGTTTATTTTTTAAATTACAAATTCAAGTTTATTTTATATTCCAGGTTTATTTATCAAAATAAATATTACAATTTAGCAATTGTAAAATAATTTTATTGATTCCAAGTTTATTTTTTCAAATTAATATTACAATTTTGCATTTGTAATCTAAATTACTTTCTTTCACAATTCAAGTTTATTTTTTTTAATTTCAAGTTTATTTTTACAATCTTTACAATTCAAGTTTTACTTGTTTTATTTTGTATTTCAAGTTTATTTTTATATTTTTTTTACAATTTGTAATTCAAATCTTTCTACAATTCATTTTTAACTCTAACACAAATTTACAAACTAAAAACAAACTTTAATAGCAACATTCAATCGAACCAAAATTGTAGTCATTGCAATCATTTCCAAACGCATATATTCTGACATTTCTTGCTTAAAATTGTAAAAATATATAAAAAATAAAATAAAATTTATTAAAAAAAACTTTTTCACAAGTTGCATCCTTCTTGGGATTGCCAACATTATTATTAAAAATATTTCCATTAATATTATTATTATTTCCAAAGGGTTTTGTCCTATAAAATTTGCAAAAAAAAATAAATTCAAATTTAAGAAATAATTTTTAAAAATTTTTAAATCTATTTTAAACATCAGAAAAATTTTTTTCATTATTGAAATAATTTTTTGAAGTGGAAAAAATATTTTTGATGACCAAAAAAAATATTTAAAAAAATAAAAAAAAATATTTTTTTAATTAAAAATCCCCCAAAAATTTTTTTTCAAAAATAAAAATTTAATTAAAAAATCCAAAACAAACTCTCTATAATATTGTTCATCAGCCACATAATCATTAATCAAATCATCTTCTTGACTAATCTTCTTCTCTCCTCCCCCAAATTTATTTACCCCTTCCTTTTCCTCCTCTGGACGTGACATAATAATAACAGGTCCATCTTCCTCATTATTATTCCCTTCTTCCTCCTCAAAATCTTCTTCCCCTCCTCTCTCTTCCCCATCTTCATTTTGTCCAATTTCTTCAATATCCGCCGTCTCGTCGTCACTACTCAACAAATTATTTCGATTTAATTGATTTGCCCTAATTTTTTTTGCCCCAAAACCTCCACTCAATAATGGCTGTTTTTGTTGCTCTAGACGATTTTTTAATTTTTGTTGTTCCGATTTTTTGAATTCTAATAAACGGGCACGAGCATTTTCGGTTATTCTCTTCTTTTCCAAATCAAAATTGTCAAAACTAACTTGTTGTTGCTGTTTGGAGTTTTCCTTGTCTAAATCTAATAGAGTTGAAGAATAAGCATTTTTACGCTTTTGAAGTTCCAAAATATATTTGTCGGCATGACAAGATGTACGAATACCGATTGAGGTTGGTGGAGGCTGAAAAAATTTAAAATTTTTGGGAATTTTGAAAATTATTTAAAATTAAAATGAAAATTAAATTAATAAATTAAAAAATATTCCAGGCTTCTTGGTAAACATCAGGGAACGATTCCTGAAATCCGGAATTTTATTTTCTTGTCGGCTCGTTCTGTGGTAAACATAAACAAATATTTTATCTACTACTTGAGCTAAAATTAAGACATCAAGGATGCCCAGTGTTTAACTAAACCCAAAAATTTTTCTTGGATCCGAAATCCAAAACAACTTTTTTCTCAACCCCGTAACATTAGGTAACAATCTTTGCGAGGTCTATAATGAAAAGTATGAATAAAAGTTGTCCAAATTCAACAAAGTTTTCAATAATTCACCACAGGCCAGTAGCCAGGATTATTTTCTGGGTGCGGCCAAGAGGGGAAAATTTTTCTGCGGCGACTACGGGCCAGATTCCCCGAATTACATGAAATTACTATTCCAAAAAATCGAAAAAGAATTTATTTTAGCCCAAGACCTAAGCCTCCAAAAAATTTTTTACTTGAAAATTTTATTGAAAAATTAAAAAATTTTTTTATACATTTTTCCTCGTTTCATCCTTCATCACATCCTTTGCAGCCGTGCTAGAAAGTAGACGATTTCCTTCTTCGAGTGCCTCATCACCAAAATAATCAGAATCTTCATCCTCCTCCTTATTTTCCAATCCCGTTTCAAGTTCCTCATCGTCAGAGTACAAATCCCCAGCAATGTTCTGTGGGGGTTTGGAAGTTTTTGAGGTTGGGTTTTTCTGAATGTCAAAATGGAAAAAAATTTTTTTTGTTAAAAATAAACCAGAAAAGTCTCGTTCCCTTTAACTTCTTTTTCAGGCGACGGCTCGTCCCAAATCCCTCCAGAAAATTTCTTTTCTTGACGAGCATTGGATTCAAATTTTGTGGCCGGCAAAGGAACCAAATTGAGCGCTTTTGTCTGAAATTTTTAGAAAAAATGTGAGAAAATTGATAAAATACGGGGAAATTGACCAGAATAAATATGAAGATCAAAAAAGTTAGAAAACGAAAAATAAAAAATCTTTTCAAGCTCCCCTGGAGTAATCCTCTAATAACTAATAAACAAATTCTAATTTTTGAAAGTCCCAATGCTTTAAATTTAAGGCTTTAGGAACTAAAAATTTGATGAAACATCCCAATTTTGAAACATAAAGGTACCAATTTTAATTCCTAATCTTCCTCCGTTTTATCCTTAATAATAAATCTAAAGGAAAAACCCCCAACACTCCTTTTTGAAACTAGAAAAATAAAAATAGGGTCGTTGAAGGATTTTCACGAAAATTTTTCTAAAATCATTTTTCTCTGAAAACTCAGAGGTTTGACCTTTGACTTATTAAAAAAGAAAATAAAAAGAAAATTTAAACCCTAACATCATTTTTGGAAAGAGCTGAACGTCTCGGAGCTAATGGATTGTCTGCCAAGGCAACTGAAAAATTTATAATAAAATTATTTTAAAAATCTTCACAAAAACCTTCCAAAGGCCGCTTCATTTTTAAATAAAGAGATCCAGTTTGTTCAACATCTGTGGTCCTGTAAAAGATTTTGGAAAAGAAAAATTTAAAGAAACAAACATTTCAATGTCCTTAGGCATAAAACTTTCAAAAACTTGTTTAATGTGTGTTTTGCTGAAGAATCGGCGAAGTTCCTTAAATTTTGATAAAATAAGTGAATGAAAAGCTGAGACTTCGAAAAAGCGTTTAAAAATTTTAAGAATGCTTGGACCACAATTAGAGATACCTTCCAATTTAAGGAGTTTTAAAAATTTTGGTGGGCTCCTGGTAAAATGGGAAGAGGGATGGATCGTGTTAACTGAAATCCGGACTTCTTTTCGAAACAGACCCGAACCCAAATTTTTTTCTCAATCCGGCCCTCTCTAGTGAAGACGCTGCTAACTAAACGAGTTTGTGCCCCATTTATTCTATATTTTTTCCCCAATTCCATATTAAATTTAATCCTTTTGATTTATAGTTGCTAAAAGAAAAGAGAAAGAAAATTCCACAAGGAGTTTAATCCACAAGTCGGTATCTAAAAAGAGGTTAGGCATTTAACTCCCCTTTACTAATCCTTTATTGACTGCTTGAATGCCTAAGGAAAACGGAGCAAAATTAAGGAAAGAAGAAAAATCTGAGGACCCAGAAGGCACAAGTACCTCCTCTTTAGCTCTGATTAGAGACCGGCGCGGGACGGAATCACGACGGGATTTTCCGGGATCCCGATCAGGATTTTTCGATTTTTGAAATTCGTGATTTTTTCGGGATTTATCACAAGGGATCCCGTCCCGGCATCATTTAAGAAAAAAAATCCCGACTCGAGATCCAGGAAGGGCGAATTTGCCGGTCTCTAGCTCTGATTAGAAAAATATCGATTTTTAAGAGGCTAGGGCATCTAATCAAAAATAAAATCAAAAAACCCCACATCTTTATTCAAATAAGTCTCAAAGTCAACAAAATATTGTTTTTGCAATTCCAACAGATTAACGTGGTCTTCCTCGGCTCCCTTTTTAGCCAAGCAGGTCAACATACGTTTACGTCCCTTTAAATTGAAATTTAAATTGGAAAAAATAGGGGAAGGAACCTCATTGACTTTGTCACTAATGGTAAGTTTTGCTAATGGATTGGCCATTTAATAAAAAAAAATTTTTTTTAATTTTCTATAAAAAATCCAAAAAAATTTAACGAAAAAAATTTTAAACAAAGGAAAATAAAAGGCCCCCTCATATTTGACCAAAAACACATTTTGCCAATAAGGCTTAAAATTTACGTTTTGCCAGCAAGCCCTAATGACAAAATGTAAATTTTGCCCCATATTGGCAAAATGTGTTCTTGGTCAAATGTGATTCAGTAATAAAAAATAAAGTTAGAGTAAATCTCTTAAGTTCACACACTCTCTCATAATAAGAAATTAATCGGTAAAGGACGATTCAGTATCAAGCGGTTCACACCGTATATACTGTATTAATTTTCCTCTCTCAAAAATTACCCTGCCTGTAGTGGGTGGGGGCTAACTCAGGTCAAGGAAAACTAACTCAGACAGGTCAAGGAATGACCAACTCAAGGAATATTTTAAAAATCGGAATTTTTTGAAAAATCTGAATATTTTAAAAAAATAAGAATTTAAAACAAATTAGAATACTTCAAAAAACAGAATTTAAAAATAAATCCTGAAAATTCTTATTTTAAAAAATTTTCTGATTTTTAAAATATTCCTTGAGTTGGTCGTTCCTAACTTGTCTTTTCCTTGACCCGTCGTTCCTTGACTTGTTTGTTCCTTGAGTTAGCCCGACACGCCTATATTAATTACTCCCTCCACGAGTTGAAACAATAATTACCTAGAGAATGTATATGGCCTCTGTTAATATTCGTCCGATTCTGATAGATCTCATATCATTTGAAAGGTCTAAAACTGCTTTGGGGCTGTATTATAAGAACTCGGTTGCTGGTTAGGTAACGTTACAACGGTTAGAGTTAACCACGTGGTTTTCTTATGATACCGGTACCACCACTACCTTGTGGTCATCTAACGATGGTTAGGTAACCATTGTCAGGTGACCGAGTAGTTATTAAAATACGGCCTCTGATCAGATTCATAATTGGACTGTTCTGATCATTATAGTTTGAGTGTATTTAAATAAATTTAAAAATCAAAAAAAAAATTTTTTTGGGTACAATAAAATTTGTTCCTATTAAAAAAGTTAATAAAAATTTAAAAAAGACGTCCATAAAGATTACCCATTAAAAAATAAAAATTGGCTTTTAGATTCAATTTGGAGCTATAAAATATGTCTGGGAATTTTAACAAAAGAAAATGAAACTTTTTAAACTTTTGAGCTAATAAATAAAATTTTAAATATTAAACAAATTTTTTTGACAAAAGAAATGTCGAATTTGAGGAAATATAAAATTTTGTGGTTTTAAATTTTATGTTAAATTTTGGGTAATAAAAAGTCTGACAAATTTCCGCCTATTTAAACTCGTTGTGACTCCCATAGAATTTAAATTTATCAAAAATATTTGGGGGGTAAAGTTGACAGAAAATGTCCCTTATTGGAATACTTATCGCCCTTTGTATTATTCCCTCAACGGTTAACGCGGATTGTCTTTCAGGGAACTGGACAACGCGTGTTGCTACGGATGGAAATACTTATGGTTATCAAGTTCTTATGAGAGATTGGCTTAATTTTTATGAGGTGAACAAACTCTTATTTTTCAAAAATAATGTAAGGAGGAGGAAAGACCCAGCTAGCATTTAAATGCTTACTAGGTGGGGGTTTAAGATGTAACCTCAACCTTGTTCCCCGTCTCGAAACAATTCGAAAACCCCGTACCCCGACACAACCGCCCCCGAGCGTTCGGGACCCTGCCTTAATTAAGAGTGCCGGTAGCTCAGTCGTTAGTTCACCTAGTATACGTGGTGAGGAAGGCACCTAACAACTTCCAAATGATGCCTGCCATGGGCTAATCTTTACCTCTTTTACTTAATTTTCCGTGGATTATTTATTTTCTAGTTATTCCCTGATATTATTGGGCAAACCATTGCCTACGACACAACCTCGTGATAGAAAAATATTTAGATTGCTAATAACCACTAGAAAGTGAAACTGCCAAGAACCATAACCCACAAGGGACTGGTTCCAGAACCCCAAAAATTAAGACCAAAAAAATTTAAAGGCCCGTGCCCTATGTCTCGGTGTTGGAGGAGATGTGGCATCTATCCACAGTGATGCTGAGAACGAATTTGTTCGAAAATTGGCCGCCCCATATATTATCGCTTGCCAAACAAATAAAACAACATGTGGCTCTAGAGCTTCTACAAGCCTTGACTTGATTTTAAGTACAGTTTGGTTGGGAATGAACCGTTGCCAATATTTTCCCAGATATAATGTTACTGTTGATTGTGTCAATTCGGATGGAACGCCTTGTAATTACGCTACTACTTCTTCGGTTACTCCATGGGCTGTGGGAAGTCCTTCAGGATCTGACAGCGGAGGGGGAGGTAAGTCTTTATCTTTAAAAATAAGGGATAAGTGACAACAAGTGCGGGGGTATTGGGTGCTTGTGGCTCAGTCGCCGACCTTTTAAAATTTTGGTATCGACTAAGGAGCCGTTGGATTCTGCGCTGATCCACGTTGATTTAAGGCTCCCGCTCATGTTGACTTCGGACTCCGTCGATCGGCAGATTTTCAGGGGCATAAAGGGATCCCAATGATTTGGAAGTATATCAGGTTAAGACTTCGGTTGGAACTTATTCCCGATCCCATATCCACCAGCATTGTCAAGACTAATTAATAATGCTTATATTCAATTAAAGCTGGTCTCATTGAGGAGTGCGTTTCAATGTTTAACGCCACAACTGGAGAGTGGAACGATGTTTCCTGCTTCCAAAAATTGGGCGGAGTTGTGTGCAAAAGAAATTGTACAGGAACATGTGGAAGTACATCCATCAAGACTGCTTTACTTACTAGCCCTTCTGACATAACAGACAGTAATTTAAAGAATCCTTGAAGTAAAATGAGTTATTTAATATTTAAGCAAGTTGTACATCTGGCAATTGGACTAGACGAACAGGTGAAGATGGAAAAACATATGGTTATCAAGTTGTAATGAAAGATTGGCTTAATTTTTATGAGGTTGAGAAACACTCGCTATCTTATGCCAAAAAAATTTTTTATTCAAGGCAAATGCACAATGTCTTGCGATCGGAGCTGAAGTCGTATCAGTCCATAGCGTAGCTGAAAATGAATTTATTCGACAATTGGCAGCTCCGTATATAAATGTGTGTCAAACAAACACATCGGTGTGTGCCCAAAGAGTTTCTACTACTCTTGACACTATAATGCGTTCACTCTGGTTAGGCTTGCACCGTTGTGCATTCTATCCTTCATACAATGCCACTGTCGACTGCGTCAATTCGGATGGAACCAATTGTGATTATTTCAACATCACTGGAGGTCCTTCAGGAACGGAAACTGGAACAGCATGTAAGTAAACGTAAAACAATGAATGTGCTATTCTGCTTAATATCATTTTATTCAAATAATTTTAGTTATAAAAATTTTGTATTAAAGCTGGTCAACAAGAGGCTTGCGCTGCCATGTACAACGGAACATCGGGAGAGTGGAATGATATAGCATGCTTTAATAAATTGGGTGGAGTAATTTGTAAAAAGAACTGTTCGAACGCTTGTGGAGTTGCATCAACAACTACCACACGATTGACTACAACAACCACACAGCCAACTACCACAACAACGTTACCTACTACCACAACGACTTTACCAACAACCACAACTACCTTGCCAACTACAACAACAACATTACCTACTACTACAACCACTTTACCTACGACCACAACGACTTTACCGACTACCACAACCACGTTACCGACTACCACAACCACTTTACCAACTACTACTACAACGTTACCAACTACCACAACAACACAACCTTCCACAACAACTACCACCCAGCCAACTACAACCACAACAGAACCTTCCACTACAACTACCTTCAATTGTGCTCAACCTCCAGTCACTTCATTGCTGAGCTACAACCCTTCTGATCCAAAAATATCAACTAATGGCAATACAACTGAAGGAGTTTGTGAATGCCCAGCCGATCCTAGTAATAAAAATGTCTTTTTTATTCCTGTTACAACGGTTACAACTGGGTCAAGTGCAAGTAGTTCTTCAGTCATTATGAAATGTTCAAAGATGCAGGACTTTTGTGTTTGCGACGAAGGCGATGTTTGTTGGAAGTTGATAAATGCTTATTCTCTAATTGTGATTAATTCTTTCTGCGATCCAACATGTCATATGTATGCACGATTAACTAACTCTGCACCGTTTAATCAAACCTTCGAAAGCGATTGTGGAAGAAAAATTACACTGGATGATGAATTGACTCCAATTCCAAATACAAAATTTCATACATTCAAACCAATGGGTAGTACTGTAGATTATTACATTAAAGTAAGTTTGATTTGTTATACTGAATCTATTTAACATTTTTAGGCAGCGAGTATTCGATGTCTTCAAGCAGGCGATACTTGCACCCCAATCAAATGTTCGGGAACTAGAAAGCCATCTCCTTGTGGGGCGCCTGATAAATAATAATGATAATCTGACAAGTCGATTCATTCTTGCTGTTGCTAATATGATTAACATTTGCTTAATATTATTAATTTTTGTCGTAGAAATTGTAAAAATAAATTAAAGCTTGGGATAAAACTTTTTTCGAGAATATACTGAGATACATACAAAATAAAAATCAGAAAATAAACAAAAAATCGGAACAAAAATTAGAACGAAGCGTTCAACTGTTTGCACTTAAAGTGGCCTTTCTAAATATAAAAAATCAACATTTCAACCCACAAATTTATTCTTTCTAAATTTGATCAATAAGGCTATAATTAGAAACTTGTCCTTATAATTAGAAAATTCGCTGTTGGTTAAATTCGGGTTTCAGCATTTGTTAAAACGAGAGTTTTTACTTTTATTGGTAAAATATGTTTTGGTGAAATATGGTGGAGGTCTTTTAATAAATATATCTTTTGAACAAGCACGAATTCTGGTCATTTTTATTTGCTTCTTTGTAAGATTGTAGAAGTCTCAGAGTTTTTATTTTAATGCAAAAATACATAAAACAAAATCAGAATTTGTAATTCTGATAATATCTCTCTTTCACACCTTTATAAAAATACAATAAACCAGAATTTAAAAATCAGAATTCTATTCCAACAAACAAAAACCAGAATTTAAAAAATCAGAATTCTATTCCAACAAACAAAAACCAGAATTTAAAAATCAGAATTCGATTCCAACAAACAAAAACCAAATTTAAAAATCAGAATTCGATTCCAACAAACACAAATCAGAATTTTAAAAATCAGAATTACATTCCAACAAACAAAAACCAGAATTTAAAAATCAGAATTACATTCCAACAAACAAAAACCAGAATTTAAAAATCAGAATTTCGTTCCAACAAACAAAAATCAGAATTTGTAATTCTGACAGTATCCATCTTATACACCTGTATTTCTGATTTGTAAAATACAAATTACGAAAATACAAAAATCAGAATTTCTAGTGTTTTATTACAACAAATATGTAAAAACACAAATAAAATAAAAATACAACACAGCAAAAAAAATAAAAAACATACATAAGAAAACACAAGCTTTTAAACCTAAAAATACATTAATGTCTTCCAAACGTTTTAACGATTTTCTTCGCCGTGCGCAAGGTGCAATCTCCAACTTTAGAAATGGTTTTTTGACATTTTATTAATTTAATTAAAATATTTAGGAGGATCAGGGTTTTTTATTGGCAGAAGTGGAGAAGTGATTTATTCAAAAAATAATATTTGTTTGCACGAGGATGCAGAAAATATTGCAGATTTGTATTTTTAAAAAATAAAATTTTAATAAATTTTTTTAATTAAAAGAATTTGAAAAATAAATCTAAAATGATTTAAAAAAATAAAAATTTTCTCCTAATTCTGGATCTAGTAGTTAGCATAAGTCCTAGAGCACTGATGCATCCCCCATCAAATTTTTAGTCCGCCTCTATCGGGAATTTGGTTATTGCCTTAAAGACCAATCCAAAAGATAAGCTAACAGGGAAGTCCCAGACCTAGTGACCTTTCCTGAACTTCAAAAAATCGGTTTGGAAGTTAAGGCAAATATTAAAAACGTGGATTAGTTATATTTGTATTTGGCCTATTTTTTCTCGTATACTGTAAGTGTACGCCTTTGATACGAATTTCCATATATTAGCGATGTTCGGGTATCCCGAATCTCGAGGGTGGTACGACAATTGCGGATACGCACGTGCGGATGCGACGATTGCGGATATAAAATTTTTAAAAAGTTTAAGATTTTTTAAAGTTCTAAGTGCCACATCAGTCTAAAAATGATTCGGAAACCGTCAGAAGTCGGAAACTGACAGCCGGGGCTAAAAAACAGAACATCCTTTCAATCATTTTTAAAATTAAAAAAAAATTTTAATCCGCAATTGTCGTAACACCCTCTCGAGGTCATTTACCGAGTATATTTTTTTTCTCGATTACCGGTTTATTCTCGGGTATATTTTTTCCCGGTATATTTCTACCATTTAAAACTTTTCTTATCAGAAAATTTCAAATTTTAAGAGAACCAATACACACTCCAGGCTATTTATCTATCTATTGTCTGGATGATGAATTGTTGGGTGTAACCCTTGTTTTGCAGTGGATGCCTAATACTTTATTGGAAAAAAATCCGACAAGGTTTTCTGAAAAATTGCTGTTGTTTGTATTGTGTTGTGGTTTGTCAATAATGAAAAATAAATGTTAGAAAATTTTGAGAAATTTTTTTAAAATTTTTTTTTTGTAAAAATAAAATTTTTGATTCTATAAGAGCTGAGATGAAAAATTTAAAAAAATCATCGAAAAATAAAAAATTATAAAAAAATTTCAAAAATAGAAAAGACAAGGGACGGGCAGAAAATCGAAATGGTTAAGGTTAGCACAACGAAGGCCATGGGGACGGGATGGATTTCAGGGTTAATATTAAAGACAGTGGTTGGAATTTTGAAATTTGCTCGTCTTGAACTTCGTACATAAGTACGAGTTCGAATTTTGGTACGAGCTTCCAATCAGACATGCACGAAACGTTTCGTTTCGTTTCGTTGTTTCGTTAGTTTCGTTATGTTTTTTTCTGTTTCGTCTCGTTTCGTGACGAAACACTTTTTAATTTGTTTCGTTTCGTTTCGTTAACGAAACACCTGTGTTTCGTTAACGAAACATTACCTATTTTTCAGGCCAAAACTTAGCCAAAAAATTAAAAAAATTCCACTTTGGTGATGAAAATTTTAAAAAATTTTTGCCTGCGGCGCAGAAATCTGGATTTTAAGCGCCTACAGCTCATAATTTACTATATTTTTTAGAATTTCCCGTTTAATTTTATGTTTTTTAATACGCAAAGTTCGAATTCCATGCCAGATTAGGCATATAGAAAGGGTCTATCTCTTGCCATTCAGGGTCGGGCGCAAGAGAATTGAATTTAAAATTTCAATAAACGAGAAACGAAAGATGCCAATGATCATGAATAGGGTTGCCGTTTTCGAGTCGCGCCAGTACGAGTCTTTTTCGGGCCAAATCCGAGTCGGTCCATTTTGCCAACCCTAATCATGAACGTTGTTATTCAACAAAAAATCTGACTGACTAGAGGTATATCAGGGGATTTGGCGGGAGAAATGTTGGTATAGGAAATTAGGAGAGTAAACGGATATCGGTGGATTTGGAGAGTTTAAAAGAATTAAATTAAAAAAATTGTCGGGAATCAGGAGCGGGTTTCGGGAATAGTAATTTCCGACAAAATTATTTGCTGATTTTAGAAACGGCAGTATCCCTGATTTACACATTTTCCCAACACATAATTCGATAGTAGTCGATTTGCCGGAATTAAGGCTGATATAGTGGATAAAAAGGTAAACACGCGAAAATTTTGGAGCCTGGGACCACAATTTAAGGTCCCACAAAGCTAAAAGATTATATATAGGCCATGACTGGCATATTAACGTGCTTAAAATAGAATAATTAAAAAAATAAAACCGTTTTTCTTAAATTTTTTTGAAAATTACAATGTTTCGTTTTGTTTCGTTTCGTTTCGCTAAATTTATACTGTTTCGTCTCGTTTCGTTAACGAAACGATTTTTAAAAAATTTTGTTTCGTTTCGTTTCGTCTGAAAAAATTTTGGAGTTTCGTGCATGTCTGCTTCCAATCACTCATTAAGGGCTGGAAAAGGGGACTAGAAAAGTACTAGAGTTTTAATTTTTTTTATAAATTTATTTGCTTCAATTAATCTTAATTTTCTCAATTTTATCTTTTTTCAGTATTCGATCAGTCTCACCCAAACCTTTATCTTTAAATGAAAATGTTGAAAATAAAAATTTAATAATTACTCGACTTTCTTGTTCCAATAGAGAAGTTGGTGGTGATAGTGAAGAGGAGGGAGAGGTTTTTTAAAAATTTTTTGGACCTCACTATAAGCTATCCAAAAATTCTTTGTTCTATTCGGAGAAATTTGGACCCCTCTAAATATTTTATAATTTGTGATACTTGCCCGACTTGGGGAAATTACTTTAAAAAATAAGAAAAAAAGATAAAAAAAAGCTCAAAATGGTCAGTAAATTAGGAAGAATAAAGGGTTATCTTCGAAAATATTTAAGAGATACGTTTGTTTAAATTCGGGTGGTAGCTGGTGGGGTAGCTGCCAAAGTGACACCCCCTATTGAAGATATTATGGGGTACGGGTTTTCCAGCCCATAGGGAGTGTTTTATATTGAGGTCCGGCTTTTTAAAAATAAAACAAGTTTTTTTAAATTAAAGTTAAGTACAATAGAAGAAAGAGTAAAAGAAGAACAACAATATTTTGATAATTCTTCAATTATTGAAAAGCATTTTGAGCAAAATGAAGGTATTGTTGGTCAACGACCAACAACATTGCTTCAATCTGAGGAACAAACGGTGAGGGATTTTTGAAAGGATTTTTAGACTTTTTTGGATCATGGATGTCTCGGATTACCCTAGGCATGAAACCCGATCCGAAGAAAATTCTGAAAAGCAGATCTGAAACTCGATACGACTTTTCCTCAAACAAAGACATACCGTTAATACTCTAATAGAAGCCCCGGGCTTATATTTTTCAATGGGTCCCCTCGAATGGGCTTATATTAGAGGTAGAGTTGGGCGGGATCGGGATCCCGACGAAAAATCGGGATCGGGATTTTGGAATGATGATCCCGGTCCCGATCCCGACTGTGGGATCGGGATTGGACGAAATCGGGATCGGGATTCGGAATAATGATCCCGATCCCGGTCCCGACTCGGGATCGGGATTGAAAAATCGGGATCGGGATTTAGTTAAAAAATTTTTAAAAAATTTAAATTTTTATTTTCTTTGCATATACCTCAATATAATTTCAAAATTTTCATCAGCTGTGCTGAATGTTGATTTTAAATCTCATTGCGCTTTTGTTCTTGGTATATCAGGGATTAAGGAGTAGAGATAAATTATCCACATGAAGGTGATTCTGATGGATTAGATTCTGATCGATAGTTTTATGAGTTTCTTCTATTTCACCGCCGGAGGCAAAAATTTTGAAAAATTTGGAAGATTCTTAAGCCAAAATCTTTATTTTTTGCGCCGCAGGCGAAAATTTTGAGAATTTTGGAACGGCAAGAGACTCTTTTTCACCCTTAAGAATTTTCCTTTTCTTCTCCTCTCATACTCCCTTCTTTCGCTCACTTAGTTGTCTTGTTTCACTAAGATTCTCACTAATTTATAAAATCCCGATTTCATCGGGATCCGATTGCTAATCCCGATCCCGGTCCCGATCCCGGCTCGGGATCAGAAAAATCGGGATCGGGATTCAAAAAAACCGGGATAATCCCGCCCGATCCCGACCGGGATCCCGATCCCGCCCAACTCTAATTAGAGGTGGGCTTTTCTTATACAAAAGGTTAGCTTCTATTAGAGTATTTACGGTAACTCTTAAAAAATTTTTTGGGGAGGAAAATTGTAAAAAAATAAAATTTTGGGAAAAGAAAATTTTTTAAAAAAATTTTTTGCTTTACAAAACTGTGAGGCTAAACGAGAAATTTCCATTGGAAAAAAATTTTTATGAAGAAGAAAAAATAAAAATAAAAAATATTTTATAGTTCTTGTCTCTACCCTCAATAAAATTAATTCCAAATACGCCAATTGAACAAGAAATGGACGGAAGAATTGGAGATGATCGGGTTTTTGAAGGATTAATTAATTTAAAATTAATTAAAAATTTAGCTGACAGAAAGTTCTGGGGCAACTTCTTGTGAAGATGAATTGGTGGAAGATGAGGAGGAGGAAGGGGAAGTAGATAATGGGTCGTCTGGTGATGATAAATCGGAGGAGGATGAAAAAGGTTTTACTTAAAATTTGGAAGAAGATGGGTTATTTAATTTTTGGTGTTGATTCATTATGGGTTGCGGAACTAATACCTGAATATTACTAAAAGCACCTCGAATTAATGCTCGACTACCAAAAATTTTGTCTCTAAACATAAAGTAGTTTTTTTCAAAGAAAGTCGGGTCGATCTTTCATTTTTTGGTAATCGGTAAAGCTGCTTGACTAAAGCAGCATTCCTAAATTTAGTAGAGGCTCAGAGGTTGTTTCGAGGTATACGTCCATTCCTACCAAAAATCTCTCCAAACATAAAAAAGTTACAAAAAAAGTTTTTTTCAGGGGTAGTCTGATCGAGCTTCCAATTTTTGATAATCAGTTAAATTACCAAAAATTGGCGGCTTTCCTAAATTTAGTAGAGGTTTAGAGGATGTTTCGGGGTATACTTCGTCCATTCCTTTAAATTCTAATTATTTCTGGCTATTCTCCTCAAAAATTAATTTTATTTTCAAGACCAAAATTCTTCCCGTCATTCGGACCCTTTTTGTCAAAAATTTGCTGCTTCTCTCTTTTTCGATTCAATCCCTGAACATTTTGCTAGAGATCATAATTTAGTATGGAATAAAATAAATAATGAAGAAGATGGGGAGGAAGAAAGTACAAGCAATATATTGGCTTTAACTAGAGATAAAGTTATTTTCCAATCAAAAAAGGTGGAGGAAGAAAAAATAATATTAAATGAAGATCAGAACAATAATAAAGAAATTGCAGGGAAGAAACTTGCTTCGTTATTCTCCGTTAATTTAGGTTGGATATAAACAAAAATACAAAATCAGAATTTAGAAAATAAACAGAAAATACAAAAGAGGAGTATAAATACAAATAATCAGAATTTAGAAAATACAAATAAAAATCAGAATTTAGAAAAATTTAGAAAAATACAGAAAATGATAAAATACAAAAAATATTTTACTTCCGGAAAACACAAATAACTGGGACATTAAAAATAGAAAATACAAAGAAATACAAAATCAGAATTACAGAAATTTAAAATACAAAAGCAAAAACACAAATACATACAAAAACAGAAACACAAAAAGTAAAACAATAAAATACAAAACATATTTTATTCCGGAATACACAAATAAATAAAAATCAGAAATTAATAAAAAAATACAAAATCAGAATTTATATACCGGAAAACACTGAATTTTCAGAATCAGAATAAAACATAATGTGTTTTAAGATCAGAATTTAATTACAACAAATGTGTTTTTATAATCAGAAATATCAGAAAAACATTTTTAATTTTAGTTAAGATAAAGAGAAAACACAAACAAACATTAATTTTACTGATTTTGTTTCTTCTGATTTTAAAATTTTTTCCTTTAAATTTCAATTAAAGGCAAAATGCGATCAATGCGTGTATTTTATTCAAATCCAGAACGAACAAGTGGTAAATAAAAATATATTAAATTTTTAATATTTTATTGAATTCCTTGTTAAAGGGCAACTTGTTATTGCCAGTTACGATTCACAATATAAAATATTTCATTTCCATCATGATGGTCTCGACAAATTGGCATTAATATTTGAACGTTGGAATGCTGTAAAGGCTAAATCCGCTGGGAATGATGTAATTTTTAGGGCTTTATTGCTTAACGATCGCTTTCAAAATTATTTAAAATAAAGTCTATTTTAACCAAATTTCCGGAAAAGTTTCAGAATTAAATTAGAACATGTTTTTAGAAACTCAGAATTTAATCCGAACAAGTTTCCGGAAAAGTATCAGAGTTAATTCAAAACATGTTTTCAGAAGCTTTCAGAATTTATTCTGAACATGTATTTCTGAAAATATCAGAATTTATTTTAAAGTTTTCCGGAAAAATTCAGAATTTATTCACAACATTTTCACCTTACACATCTCGGTTATATACATTTAATTATTTCTTAAAAACAGTCGCCTTCTGTGGCTGGACCAGATCGTCATTTACTCATTTGCCCTGTTGGTGCTGATCTGGCTAAAACAGAAATGGACCCAGAAGATGGATTATATGAAAGATTAAATTGGGACCATTGGCGTTCATTTATCTCAAAGGAAGGAAATGTTGGGGATTCTTTTACTGTTAGAAAGGTATAAAATGACTGATTTTATCCACTAATCACTCCTTCCCTCAGATAATTTATTTTGCTTCGATGGACCCAAAAATGAGAAAAGAATTGTGGCCTTTCCTTTTAAGAATATTCCCTTGGTCTTCAACTTATGAACATCGTGAGAGTATTCGAAATGATTTGTTTCTCAGATACCAAAGAATGAAAAGAAATCGAATTAAAAAAATTTCAAAGGCAACAGAAGCAGGGGAAAAGTTTTATGCTAATGTTGAATCAAGCATCTTAAAAGTATAAATTTATAAATGTTTCAGAATTTATTACGAACATGTTTTCCTCAAACATTTCAGAATTAATTTCGAACATGTTACAGAAAAGTTTCAGAATTTATTACAAACATAATTTCCGGGAACACATCAGAATTAATCTCCAACACGTTCCGAAAAAGTTTCAGAATTTATTATGAACATGTTTTCAGGAAACATTTCAGAATTAATTTCGAACATGTTCCGGAAAAGTTTCAGAATTTGTTTAAAACATTTATTAAACTTGGAAATAAAATATGTATACTTAAAGAAAATCAGAATTAAAATAAAAAATACAGAAAATACAAAATATGTTTTTAAAAATTTGTTAGGATGTTCTTCGAACTGACAGGCGTAATTCCTTCTTTGCTGGAGATGGAAATGCAAATTTGGAAACAATGAAGTTTGTACTTTTTCCGGATAATATTTAATATTTTACAGATCAATATTGTTAACTTATGCTGTTCGTTTTCCCGAAATTAATTATATTCAAGGAATGAGTGATTTACTAGCTCCTTTACTTTTTACACTTCGAGATGAACCTTTAGCTTATTGGTGTTTTACTGAATTAATGAAGCAAACACTTTTTTGTCAATCAGAACAGCGCAAATCTGTTATGGAAATTCAGCTGGATTATTTACGAGAGTTGATTCGACTTTTTGTACCTGAGGTGTTTTCCTTTGCCTAAATTGGGGAAAAAATTTAGTTTCAGAAATAAATGTTAAACTAGTTTCCGGAAAGTGTTTCAGAATTAATTTAGTGCATGTTTCCGAAAAGGTTTCAGAATTTCATCCGAACATGTTTTCAGTAAAGGTTTCAGAATTTTGTTCGGACAAGTTTTCCGGAAAAGTTTCAGATCTAATCCGAACATGTTTCCGGAAAGGTTTCAGAATTTTATGCAAACAAGTCTTCTGGAAAGGTTTCAGCATTTATTCTAAACAAGTTTTACGGAAAGGTTTCAGAATTTCATCCGAACATGTTTCCGGAAAGGTTTCAGAATTTTATCCGAACATGCTTTACAGAAGATTTCAGAATTTATTCCAAGCAAGTTTATCGGAAGTTTCAGAATTAATTTCGAACATGTTTCTCTAAAAGTTTATTCATAACAGAAACATGAAACACATTAAACGACCTAGACATGTTTTTATATGTATTTTTCTATCAAATCTCAACTTCCTTTTATTTTCAGTTCTACACACATTTAAAGTTTCTTGGAGGTGATGCTCCTTCTTTAATGTTCGTTCACCGCTGGATTTTACTTTTCTTTAAAAGAGAATTCCCCCAAGCTGAAGCTTTACATATCTGGGAGGTTTCTATAAAAAAATCTTCCCCAAAAAAATTTATTTTAAAGGCTTGTTGGTCTCGTTATAGAAGTGCCCATTTCCATTTGTTTGTTGCGTGTGCAATTGTTTCAGTATTTGGTCCAGATGTAGTCTCTCAGCGCTTGCCTAACGATGAAATTCTTTTATATTTTTCTTCTTTAGCAATGCACATGGATGCAAATTTAATTTTAAGAAAAGCTAGGGGGCTTCTATATCAATTTCACAGAATGCAACGAATTCCTTGTACTCTGGTTGGGTTACAAATTTTGGAAGAGAACGAACCAAATCAGTGGAATTCACATGTGTCTGTCAAAAAAGAATATTTCTGTATGGGAACGCATGGAAATGATGAAACTTGCCCTATGAAATCAGAAGAAGAACAGTCTAGTCTATAATTCTGATTAAAACATTGTTTAAATTTAATAAAACATTCCTTATAAATGTTTTAATAGTGGTGTTTTAAATGTTTTAAGTGTTTATTTTATAAGAGAAAAACCAGAATTAAATTACAACAAAACCAGAATTAAATTACAACAACAAATACATATCTATGTTTTTAATAAATCAGAATTATATTAGAGGTTTCAAAATCAGAATGTTTTGCATTAAATCAGAATTTTTTGCTTCCTAAAACCAGAATTAAATTACAACAAACAAATAAACCAGAATTACCTTATACTGAACATATGTTTTTAAAACCAGAATTATGTTTAAACAAATGTGTTTTTTTAATCGAATGTTTATTAAATGTGATTTTAAAATCAGAATTTCATTGCAACAAATGTTTTTAAAATCAGAATTATTAAATATTAAAATATAATTGCTTCAAAACATGAATTGATATTTCATTCCCTCTCTTCCCAGATTTTTTTAAAATATTGATTTTCAAAATTTTAATTTTAAAGCTATTAAAATAGTTTAACGCTAGACATATAAAATCCATAATCCACAATTCATTTTTTAAAATATAGTTGAAAAGGAACTAAAAATTAATTTAATTTGAAATTTCTGACAAGCCAACCTAGGCAAAATGGAGTAAAATCCGTAAGGGTTTATTAGCTAGTTTTCCTTTAAATATTTATTCAAAATAAATAAAAATGTTTTTATTTATTAAAATATTTTTTTATTTCCTTTTTTCCTCGGTAATCCTCTTCTATCCACTTTCTGCTCTTTTATCAAATTGTCTGAATGGTGTTTGTGATTGCGATCCGGATGTAATCGACTATTGGGAAGGTATTGATATTGAGTCTTTATTATCTACTTTAGCACCTTTAACAACAAAGAAAATAGTAAAGACAACAACAATGGAGCCTAAAACAACAATGAAACCAACAACAGAAAAATTAAAGACAACAGAAAAGCTAAAAACTACAACAACAGAAAGACTAGAGACTACAGAAAAACACAAAAACAGCACTGCAAAGGCTACAACAATCCCTGATAAACTAACAACTACAAAATCAACAACAGAAAAAGCAAAAACTACGAAAAGTCCAATAACAACAGAACGTACAACAACCAAGTCAGTTAGAGAGACCACTAAAAATAAAGAGACTACAGTGAAAAGTTTAACAACAAAAATTTTGTCAACATCAACTAAGACAACAGAAAATCCATCTACAACAAGCAAAATGTTAGAGACTACTAAAAATGAAGAGACAACAACAGAAACAACTCAAAGTTCTACAGGGTTGACTGAAACTATTGGAGAAACTACTAATACTATAAAAGATATAACAACGGTGAATGTCTTAGCTACTACAGAAGATACAGTTACTACGTCAATGAAAATGTTAGAGACTACAGAAAATGCTGAGGCAACGAAAGAAAATGTCGAAACCACAAGTATAAAAGCCGAAGAGTCAACAGAAACGTCAACAATTATAACAGCAAACGTATTAGATACTTCAACAATCAATATTCAAACAACAAACCAAGCGGGCGAGAGCACAACAGAATTGTCAGGCTCTAGTGTAAAAGCGGAACAGTCGACAGAGACTTCAACAATGTTAACACCAACAACGTTGGAAGGAAGTGAATCGTCTACTAACATATTAGATACTTCAACAATCGATAGTCAAACCACCAACCTCGCGAAAGAGAGTACAACAGAATTGACAAGCTCTACTATAAAAGCAGAAGAGTCGACAGAAACTTTTAACACAACAATTCCTTCAATATCATCCCAAATAACTACAATAAATACGGAATCTACAGTCTTATCTACAGAAAATAATTTCCAAACTACTAAGAAGGAAGATTTTACTACAAAAACTGTGGAAACTGAAGCAACAACATCTGAGCAGGCAACTTCCAGAACAACTCTTAGTACAAGTGTAGATACTTCAACTCCACTTGGCTGTAAGTTTTGAGGATTGGATCGGTTCAGTTAGTCTAAAAGCAAATGAACGGTGTCCAAAATTTTCCACAAATTTTCATTACTATAACGCAATTATAAACTCATTTTTGTCAATTTATAGCAGCATGGGTGTATAATAGACATTTTTTTAAATATAATTTAAATAAAAAAATCACTAGATTGCGGGCAATGTTGCAATTGTGATCATAAATTGGGCAAATGTTTGGCGCAATCCTAACTAATGAAGAATATGTTTACAAAGGAGAATGGATGTAATAAGAAACTGAATTCACATTCTAAATAAACTTACTATATGAATGATTGATAAATAATTTATTTAATTTGTAGTATAATTAAAGATAAAAAAGCTCTCCTATAATTATCCTCATTCTTATAATATATAATACAGAGCCGATTAAAATTAAAAAAATTCCTGCTCCCGGCCGAAGGCCGGGAGCCTCCTGAAAGTTGCGGGTCTTGGGGGGTACTTTTTATGGCGCATCCAGGAAAACTATAGAGAAGACGCCATGACTTCGTCTTTGCGCCGAAACGACCCCATGTGATTTGCTATCTCGTGAACTAAAAGTCGGAGCTCTTAGGTCCCGCTGAAAGGGCACTAGAGCTCGATTAGTAGATATCATTTAAAAAAAAATTTTCGAAATTCGGTGAAGTCTAAATACCGAAGTGCCGTGCTAACCCTTCTTAAATCTACCCAAATGTCGTGGTCACTGGGTAGCGGTCTTTTGTACCTTTTCTATATCTCGGGAACGGTTCGACGGAATTGGATGGGACCTGGGGGGTATTAGGTAAGTGGCTATGGGGAATTTTTTGGGATGGGTCATTTTGGTGCCACACTCAAGTGTGGCACTGAAATGGCCGGATGAAAATTTCAACGCGTTATAACGCGTTTTAGAGAACTTGGGGGTCTTGGGGCCCGGGAGCAATGTTGTAGGGTAGAGTGTGGGGAAGTTATAAATAGTTGACCACTAGAGTCTCGGGTGAACTTTTGGGGGTGATATGGGTCAAAGTGTCAGAGTCGAAAAGTCGACTTTTTGTAACGTGAATTGAAACTCGATTTCGATAGCCAGATCGAAAGAGCGTCCCCTGGGGCTCCGAAAAAGATATCATATGTTGGGGGTCCACTTGAGTCTCAAAAAGTTATAGGCGTTGTGGCAAAATGTCGTGAAACTTTATGAGACTCTAACGTCCCGGGGAAATTTTTTAAAATTTTTTCGAGGACGGATTCGTACTCAGCAGGTGTTAGAGCACCATATAAGCCTATTTTGGGGTCAAAATTCGAAAAAAAATTTTCCCTCCCTCGGAACCAAAGGGGTACCCCTTTTGGGGAAAATTCGGGATTTTTTAGGGGACCATAACTTTTTTTTGAATTTTCGGATTGGGATGGGGTTTCTTTTATAAAATAGAACTAAAAATTAGGAATTTTATCACCGAAGAAAATTTCGAAAAAAGTCGAAATTGGGGGTGTAGGGGTCGAATTTCGAAAACCCGAAAATTTTTCGGTTTTTCGAAATTTTTTCGTGATTTTTGCCGGCAGTTCGGGTCGAAGCTATTTTTCTTGGATAGAGCTTATTTTTCTCCATAGAATAAGCTTTTAAAATATTTCAAAAAGGTCAACTTTGAAAAAGTTATGAATTTTTGAAAATTTGGGTAATTTTTTCGGCCGAAATTTTCGGCCAAAAAAATATTTTTTTCAAAATGGGTATAAATGGGCCAAATTATATATCAATCGAAAGCTCTCATCGAACTGAGCATAAAAATATTTTTTCCAAAATTTTCTGACCATTTTGTCCAAAGTTATGGTCGGTCAAGTGTTTGAGTCTGGGAGGGTACTTTAGCCGGTGGGGTACCAAAGGAGGGGCAATAAATTAAATATTGGCCGGTAATGTTGTAGAGCATCCCCTGGGGCACCGATAAATATATACTTTGTTGAAGTTCCATTTGAGTCTGAGTCAGTTATGGGGCTTTGTAATTTTTGAGTATGGGGGCCAACTTTAGCCTGTGGGGTACCTAAGGAGTGGGAATTAATTAAAAAGACTTACGTTATATTGTAGAACATCCTGGTATCCATCTAAAAAATATCAAATTTTAAGGGGTCACTTGAGTCTGAGTCAGTTATGGGGCTTTATTATTTTTTAGTCTGGGGGACAACTTTAGCCTGTGGGGTACCTAAGGAGGGGTACTAAATTAAAAAGACATACGTTAATTTGTAGAGCATCCTCAAAACCACCGAAAAACATATACATTGTTGGGGGTCCACTTGAGTCTCAAAAAGTTATACCCAATGTTCGGAAATGTCGCGAAAATTTTTGAGACTCTAACGTCCCGGGGAAATTTTTTAAAAGTTTTTCGAGGCCGGATTCGAACTCAGCGGGTGTCAGAGTACCATATAGGCCTATTTTGGGGTCAAAATTCGAAAATTTTGTCCCCTCCCTCAGAACCAAAGGGGTACCCCTTTTGGGGAATTTTCTGGATTTTTTGGGGGACCTTAACTTTTTTTGGGATTATCGGTTTGGGATGGGGTTTACTTGGGGAAAACTTGGGGATATAGGTAATCGACCTTGGGGAATTCAGATAGCATGGTCGTTTTGGTGCCACGCTTCAGTGTGGCACTGAAGCGTTCGTTTTTTTCCAAAACACCCCAAAATTAATTTTTAATTAAATTTTTATATTTTTTTCATTTGTAGCTAAAAATTAAAATATTTTAATTCAAAAAATTATTCAATACAACTTCAAAATAATTTTTATTTTTTTCAAAAATTAAAATTTTTTTACAACAACAACAAAATTCAATTATTTTTATTTTTTCGACAACAACAACAAATTTCTTCAATTATTTAAATTCATTCCCTCAACATCAACTCAACACCCTTACATCTCTACAAACAAACCATTTCGGTTTGTTTTTTACTTTATAAATTTTTTTCAAAAAAACTATTTTTTATTTTTCAGGTGTTCAACACCAACTATGGATGGAAAATTTGGAATTTTCCATTATGGAAGATTTTTTGGAGGAAAAGAAATCCCACGGACGTGGGTAAGCGATTTGTATGACCACTGTGCGGAGGGGTCATGCCGGTTTTCGTCCAGAAATGGGCGGAGCCGGCATGATCGGGGATTGGGTCATGCCCGTTTCCCCTTTTGGGGGTATGGGAAGGCTCCCCCTTCCTTCTGCACAGTGGGAAAGTACAACCATTGTGCAGATGGGTCATGCCGGTTTTTTCTCCAGAAATGGGCGGAGCCGGCATGATCGGGGATTGGGGCATGCCCGTTTCCCCTTTTGGGGGTACGGGAAGCCTCCCCCTTCCGTCTGCACAGTGGGGCCGTACAACCATTTTGCAGACGGGTCATGCCGGTTTTATCCCAGAAATGGGCGGAGCCGGCATGATTTGGGGATTGGGGCATGCCCGTTCCTCCTTTTTGGGAGTATGGGAAGCCTCCCCCTTCCGTCTGCACAGTGGGACAACCTCTGTGCGGAGGGGTCATGCCGGTTTTTGCCCATAAATGGGGGAAATCGGCATGATTTGGGGATTGGGACATGCCCGTTCCTCCTTTTGGGGGGATGGGAAGTCTCCCCCTTCCTTCTGCACAGTGGGCACTTATTCACTCCGCCGTGCGGAGGGGTCATGCCGGTTTTTTTCCAGAATTGGGGAGGAATCGGTGTGATCGGGGATTGGGACATGCCCGTTTCCCCTTTTGGGGGTATGGGAAGTCTCCCCCTTCCCTCTTCACAAAAAGGGGCCTATCCATGACCTCGTCTGCACTATAAATACAGCGAGGCATGGAAGTGTCCTCTTTAAACCCCGTCCTGTGGAAAAACCTGTATACATTAGGTTTCGGGTCCTAGCCACAAGAAGGCCCACAGGATGGGGTGAAATAAACGTGGGGCACCAATACTTGGGGGAAAAGAACCCCGGGTATTGATGCTTCACTGTGCGGAGGGGTCATGCCCAAATTTTTCAAAAACTTGAATGCCAACGGTTTTGGGTGATCCATAAAACCCTAATTACCTCATTTTTAAAAAAAATTAATTTTTTTTTCATCAATATTTGGTTTTTTAACCTTATATTTGGTTTTGGGTCATCCATTAAAACCCAATTTGAATGCTTTTGAATGGTTTTGGGTGACCCATAAAAACCCTAATTACTGGTGGCTTCTGCCATTGGTTTGGCTGGACCTGGATTAGGAGGGGCACCCGTATGGACTCTCCGCTTCTAATCTAGGGGCCTAACACAGGTCTGTGCGGACGGGCATGCCCAAATTTTTTTTGGGTCTGCCCTTACAAGCAGCTTGTGGGGGGTCCTGATGAAAAGAAGTGGCCCATGCGGCTTTCCGCTCCTTATTCAGGGGCCAAAAACAACGTAGGATAGAGGGGTGCTGCCAAAATTTTTTTTGAAAGCCCCCTATAACTGCCTGTTTTTGACCCTGAGCCAGGTACTAGCCGGCAAACTATATTTTGGTTCTGTGCTGGGGTGACCGGACGGTCAACGCTTAACCCCTGAGGGGGATGTTTTTAGCGCGGCAATTTGGAAACAGCAATTACCGAGATGTAGGGAGTGATCAATGTGTGGAAGCGGTTTGGTTGTGGGGTCTTTTTCATATCGCCATGTCTAATTATAAATTCATGGTACTCTATTTCGGTAGAGGTTGGATCTGATACTCACATAAAGGGCTCCACCAGTTTTCCAAATTCAGATAATATATGGTACACAAGGATCTCATTATCCTCCGTAAACGTCCACGTCGTGTGTGCTGGGCTCTGGACTTTGTCTGGGGGCGAACTCTGGCTTGTCTGGAGGCGCGGTTAAAAATGAGCTGAAATTAGATTAAAAATTCATTGTAGAAAAATTATTTAAAATTGTAAAACATTGTATATATTAAAGTTTCGCCTGTACCACGCTAGATAAATCTGAGTCGCTGTTAAATGTAAATATATTATTTAAATCTGAGTCGCTGTTATTTGTAAATATATGAATTGAAATCTGAGTCGCTGTTGTTTGTATATATGAATTGAAATCTGAGTCGCTGATGTTTGTAAATATATGAACTGAAATCTGAGTCGCTGTTGTTTGTATATATGAATTGAAATCTGAGTCGCTGTTGTTTGAAAATATATGAATTGAAATGATGTTCTACGGTTATGCCTACTAATTATGATTTTACACAATTTTGCTTCACAAAATTATTTCTTTTTATCAATTTTGCTTTATGCTAATATTC